AGCTGTAGAGCATGCAGTTGGAGTGTGGTGACCCAGATAATGATGGAGGTGTGGAAGCACCAGCAATGAATTGTAGGACTTGACAACTACAAGGCAACTAAGCAAGAGGTGCAAAATAATTGGTTAAACGGGTAGAAGGTAGCTACCCAAGCCTTCTTAATGGCATAGGGAAGTTGGATATACCCTTACTAGGGATAAGTTGCTTATGTTGCGATATAGTAAGTCAATGTCATAAAAGGAAATACTCATTGTCAAGGAAGCCGTCATTGGAACACCCGAACACTCTAGAACACCAGGAGGTGGTGTTTGATGTCGCGAGGGCAATGGATAAAGCCCAAGGGACTAAGTCCCTAGCGAATGATGGATAGAAGGTGCTATCCAAATGTCCAAGGTTGCGGAGACAGGAGAGGACTGTCTACCCAAGTTGGACAAAGCCAAAAATGGAATTTTGGCAAGGCTAGTGATGGGCATGTAAAGGCCCATAAGCAACAATGTAATCCCAGTGTGTGGGATTATAAGGTGAGCATACCCGGATTGAGGAACCACTCCCTGGGCTATTGGGTAGGTTCATCCCTAAGAATACTTGCTAAGGCATGATAGAAAGTGCAAAGCTATCCTCCTGATCTGGAGGAGAATGACCGAAGGAAAGGTGTGAAGCCAAAGGCAAGTAGTATTGGGATGGAACTGAACCATAGAAATCGAAGGGCATAACCAAGGTTGGTTATGCCAGCTGGGAGTGGAGAATCAAGTGGGGGCTCAAGGGTGTTGCCGCTAGCAATCGTGATGCCATGGAGAGTCTAAGTTATGGAATTGTCCATGTTAGACTATGTGGCATTTGGAAGGCTTGCAAAAGGGAGGCCTTAGCAAGGTGAGGGACAGAGTTCCTTCAAGGTTCCCAAAGACGATTCTAGGTAGCTTAGTACCTAGAAAGGCCAAGTGTAAATGGTTCATGGAACGCGCGAAATCAGAGTGGCGCAGCAGAAGCGTGGTCTTGAAGCTTGCCATGAGGCAAGGCTATCAAGGTTAGGGAAGTAGTTCCCGAGTGTTCAAAGAGAGGGCTTTGAACGAAAGTCGATGGTCAAGGACTTTCACGCTTATGTAGGAACCATGTTACAGTGGTCCGAGAACTTGCCAAGCGAGATTGGCACGTCAGGGGAACAAATACCCTAGTTGAAGGTGATAACTTCAAAAAGGGTGGGCCATGGGGCCGAGCATGGAGGAGTCCATGCATGATCATAGACATGTCAAGTGAGAGGACTTGGCAATGTGGAGGAACTAGGTTCCTAAACTGTGATCTGTAGCGCGCTTTAAAAATAAGTTGGTGCACCGGCGTGGGGAGTCACGCCAGGCATCTTGTGTGATGCCGTCCGTAGATGCATATACGGAGGTTGGGTTCGAGTCCCGACCCTCTAGTGCTTGGGTTCGAGTCCCAAATCACTAGGGCGTGGTGATGGTTTGGAATATGAGGACACTCATATTTCGGTGGTCATGGACTCTCAGTGGGGAGACTGGTTTGGGCACACCGCCAAGCGAGGGATGCCTCGGAGTCGTGATGCACGGTTAGATTGCTTAGTGTGAAAGCTCGGCATATCTAACTTGAACGCTTTGGTGCAAGTGGCACCAAGGACGTGGTGAGTGAGATGGGGACACCTAATCTCAGTTGCTATGGACCCTTGGCCGGAAGGGCTGGCTTGGGCGCACCGCCAAGTGTGGGGGATGCCCCCAGGGTCGTAGTTAACAAGTTAAAGGTCTGGAAGACCTAGTACCTATTGGCAAACCTGTTAAGGTGCCGAGGTGAGATCACTAGGTGATCTTGTGGCTAAATAAGGACAAGGTCCTTGTTTGGGTTAAGGAATAAGGTTTCTAGTTCAAAGTGTTGATTTGAACTATTGAGGATGGTGTGGCTTGGTCGTGATGACCAAGTGGGAAGAGCACCTAAGGGAAATAAACTATGTCCGTGCGATGGCATAGTGAGTCCGAGGAAAGTAGTCTCTATAAAAGACCCATGGGAGGGTCACGAAGTTGGGCCGTGGATAGAGCCCATAGCAGAAGATGCTAAAGAGACGTACTAGGGGTGAACATCCTCTGGACTTGGCAAAGAAGAGTCTTTGCTATGGAACCGAAACAATACCTCAAGGAGGGAGGTAGAGATTTGGTGTTGCTTGGTGCAACAATCAACGGATAGGAGCAAAAGATGAGTGGCCAAGATAGGGCCGTGGAATCCCTTGGAAGGAATCCAAGTGACAAAGTTAGGCGAGGAACACTAATGTGTTGGACGCTAACAAGTTGCGGGAAAGGAAGTGTGTTTCCAAGGAGGGATTCCGAAATGCTCCGATTTGGCGAAAGTGGAAGCTCCAAGGGAGGGAGCGGTAAGGTAGCCAAATGATAGGGCCATGAATAGCCCTAGCACAAAGTATGATAACTGGAACTTTGGCACGAAATAGAAGAGAGGATGATGGTGCCCTCGAGTAGAGAACTTCCTAGGATGGGAAGTGGAGTTGCATAAAAGGTGCAAGGCAAGGTGTTGGAGACACCTAGGGAATTGACTTCCAAAAGTCAAAAGGGTAAAAGTTTCAAGGTGCAAAACGTTCAATAGATGGAAATTGAGACTACTCTAGAAGGAGTAGTGGGATTGACTTAGAGAAGGGTCTCTAAGAGGTTTAGCAGGAACTAAACCAATAAAAAGAGAGAACCACTACATGTGGTCCAATCAGTCTCTAAGTTGGAGAGACTACCCTCCTTAGAGGATGGGCAAGGCATGGTGAGCCTTTGGTGTCAAACCATTGAAGAATATGCAAAAGGCATGGTGAGCCTTCAATGTCAAACCCTTGACAAGTATTGGCTAGGTGCCAAGGATGGAAATGGTAACACGTGCGGGTGTTACTTTATAAAATGGTTTACCGTTCGATGAGGACATCGAACTTCGTCTATGGGTGGTGGAGTTGTGAGACACAAAATCCCTAGGCCCCAAAGTGGAGCCGGAAGGGCGCCACGTGGTAGTGGCCGAAGCGAGAGCCAAACGAGCGTAACACGTTTGGACCAAAAGCTCCGACTTGAAAAGTCAAGAGCGGGAGTGGAACTCCCAACGAAGTGCTCGAGGAACGAACACGAAGCGAGCAAAAAGCGAGGCTCCAAAAAAGGGACCCAAAAGGACCAAAACATGACACGTGGAAGTGTCCGAGATGGACCCGAGTTGGAGTCTGAAGTGGAGTCCGAGATGGACCCGAGTTGGAGTCCGAAATGGAGTCCGAGATGGACCCGAGTTGGAGTCCGAAATGGAGTCCGAGATGGACCCGAGATGGAGTCCGAGATGGAGTCCGAGATGGACCCGAGATGGAGTCCGAGATGGAGTCCGAGATGGAGTCCGAGGTGGACCCGAGATGGACCCGAAATGGAGTCCGAGATGGAGTCCGAGATGGACCCGAGATGGAGTCCGAGATGGAGTCCGAGATGGACCCGAGATGGAGTCCGAGATGGACCCGAGATGGAGTCCGAGATGGAGTCCGAGATGGAGTCCGAGATGGAGTCCGAGATGGAGTCCGAAGTCGAGACCGAGACCGAGACCGGGACCGAGACCGAGACCGAGACCGAGATCGGGACCGAGACCGAGACCGAGACCGAGGCCGAGGCCGAGACCGAGCCCGAGTCCGAGTCCGAGTCCGAGTCCGAGTCCGAGTCCGAGTCCGAGTCCGAGTCCGAGTCCGAGTCCGAGTCCGAGTCCGAGTCCGAGTCCGGAGCCTGAGAGGGTGAAAGCCCAAAGCGTTCGTCTCCCAGACCCTGGGGGGTTTGGTGAGCTCCAAAAGTATAGTAGGGGGAGGACTGCAGTGGAGCCAGTTTGGCCAGGAAAGGCCAGTTTGGCCCAGGAAGGCCGGACCCAGTGCTGGGTGATGAGCTGCCCACTGGGAAGTCCAAGACTAGAGTGAACACAGACCGACAAGCGGGGTAGCTTGGTGTAGTGTTCAAGAGCCGGCTCTAGTTCCCCCGGGAGATCGACTGGCCGATGCTCCTAGTCCAAGTGTGGGTGGCACTACCTACTTGGATACCTTGTGTGGCTCAACGGAACCCGCTCTAAGCCCATGGCTAGAGCACCCAAGGGCAGAAGGCGAGGAGAGTACCCAGGTGGCTCGCATAAGGCCACGGTGTTCCGAAATGTTGTCCCAAAGGCCCAGACTGTGGAAAGGAAGAGGAGCAGTCCTCTGGGGTAGTGACCAAGGACACAATCGTGTGGTGAGGAAGTCCCAGAGGACCGTGGGACTTAGTGGTCGGGCCTGTGGGTCTCGATCCAGTGGCAGTGTTGGCAAACACGGCCAAGGGCAGAAAGGGACTTAGTGGGGACTGACAGAGGGATATTGGGGAAGGCTATTCCCCTTGTCGGTGGGCATCCTAAGGATGCTAAGGAGTGGATCTGAGATCACCACTCACGGATGGTTTGCCTAGTCTTGGAGAGCCAAGACGGTGATGCAAGTGGTATTGGACTACCAGTGTGGCAAAGGTGATTGGGCATGGCCTTAGCGTAACAGGCTGCTATGTCGGTGGTACCTTTGAGTGTCGGTCATGGGATCGGACACGTGGAGCACTTGGACCAAGTGCAAATGTTGAGTGGCATGGATGCCATTCTCGGGGCTAGCAAGTCCCAAGTCCTGGATTGGACTTATGGAGGTTGTGAATAAGACTCCTCCAAGTGGTCAGAGGTGTGGTTAAGTGACTAAAGTAGAATGGAAAATTTAGTCGCTTACAGGCTCTTTCTATTTTGCTCGCCGCTACTGTTAGTTTCTTTTCCTCCGCTTAGTGATATGCTTAAACTCAGTGGGTTGTCTTGCCTAACCTGAGGTTGTGCACATGAGCGATTCACCACTAGGTGGGGTGTGTACCATTGATACCACACGGACAAGTCAGGGGCCACACCATCCACATACAATCAAGCCGATTGGAACACAAGTCTATGGATGGCCACATTTGCCCCACACTCACAGAGTGCGTATGAGGCAGCAAATGGTTGCAGACGCTCAGGCAGGCATGCCCTCAAGATGAACCTCGGGCATAAGTTGCATTCAAAACTTCAATGATTCAAGGAATTCTACAATTCACATCATATAATGCATTTTGCTGCATTCTTCATTGTTGTGAGAGCCTAGATATCCATTGTTGAGAGCAACATTTTGTTTTTTTGGCCCGACAGGACCACAAGATCAAAAACAACTAGTTGATAACAATCACACGGCCTCCATGTGTGCCACATCGCATAGCCAATGGCTGGGAGATGATGGCACAAGTGGAAGGAGGAGGCACACATGCACAAGTTGCAAACTCCTTGGTTTGGACTTCCCAGGTGATCTCCCAGCCCAGTACTACTCAAGCCCAAGGTCGCTTACATAAGTGCATGTGGCCAGACCAGGTGTCCTGGCTAGCCATGCCTCCGGGCATGGCCCCTCAGGGGACAATATTGTAGCGCATGTGATCATGGGATGAGATTTGGATATACTGTCACCGTGGATCTTTGGAACCTTGGGGGATAAATGGGGATAAAATAGCCACTAAGGGCTCTCTCATCAAGCAATTGCTCTTTTTCCAGTTGGCTTAAGGGGAGAGAGATAAGGTGCGCTACAGTTGGTATCAGAGCAAATGGCACGGGTTCGATTCCCATTGATTAGTGGCTACTTAAAAGTATAATATACCCTTGAGCAAGGTATATTCCTACCCCTAAATTTGAAATCGTACGTATTGGGCATCCATGTGTACGTCCTTCCTCTTGTGTGGAGTATCCACGGACGAAAGTATCCACCATGGGACTGCGGTACGGGTGGATGACTAGTTGCCTCACATGGAATAGCTAATCTACACAATAGAAGGATTGGTAGATTAAGTGCAGAAATGGAGGTGCTGGTTCCCCTTGGCTCAGTAGGGGTTGTTAGTCAATAGTCAATGAGGACATTGACATCTCTAAAGGGGGGGTGACTGTAGCGCATGTGATCATGGGATGAGATTTGGATATACTGTCACCGTGGATCCTTGGAACCTTGGGGGATAAATGGGGATAAAATAGCCACTAAGGGCTCTCTCATCAAGCAATTGCCCCTTTTCCAGTTGGCTTAAGGGGAGAGAGATAAGGTGCGCTACAGTCAAATGTAGCGCACATGGTTTTGACCCTTTATCCTATGGTGATTTACCGTAGGATAACACCACGAAGCAGAACTTAACCCTCTTTGTGCCACGTGACAGATGCCACGTGTCACATGCCACGTGTCCATGCCACGTGTCCACAGGAACCTGAGGTTCAGGGCCTTGGGCCACTGAACAGAGGAACGGTGCCAAACTCCCAAGCATGGAGCCAAGGAGTGACGGAACTGAACCACAGAGCAACTCCCGAGCATAAAGCCCAAGGAGCGAAGGGACAGGGGCCCGGAGCGACTTGGAACAGTCCTGGAACAACTAGCATCCCAATGCCAGGACTAGCACGCAAAACGGAGCCAAATGGAGTTTGGCGCTATTTTGGCATACCGGTGGCCTAACGCGAGGATATGGGTACTCCACCAACTAGCATGGAATGGAACTTGGGCTTAGACCCAAGCCGGACGCAGAACAAGGACAGGCACGCAAGCGGGAGCTAGACTATGCCTCAGGTTGGTCGGCCATGCCTGACCTACCCACTATCCCTACTATACATTTGGAACCCCCCACAGCCCCCCCCCCCTTGAGGAACACATGCTTTGGGCTTTCACCCCAAGCCTCCCTTAGTATCAAGAGTTAGTCTTTGGGACAAGCTCAAAACTTACTAAATATGGAATGTCCTTAGATTGCGAATTTGGACACGGGACGAACACTATTGTGTTCAGAACGATCTCTACATTCCATAGATATGCCAAATGAGCAAATCTGGACACTTTCCATAAATAGCATTTGGGACCGAAATGAGACTAACACAAAGGGCATGATAGCGAGGGTGTTTGGCAGACACGGTAAGCTATTATGTGGCGATATTGAGGGACCAATCTCAATACGCGAGGGTTCTTGTCAAGCCAGTGCAAGACAGAGCAAAAGAGAACTAACAAGCCGGGCCAAGTATGCTCAGCTAAATAGACACTTAGGAATTCCTTCCTTATGCTCATGCGGCCAAGTACAGATGCAAAGTCCAGTTTACTAACACTTGAACAAGAGGGGCTAATAAAGGGAACCAACAATACCGACCTTCTGCCATCGTGGCAGTAAGGTAAGAGTGTCCGTAAGGACTAGTCGCCAGGTAACTTTCGATACCCGAAGTCACATTTGCGACAAATATAATCTTGGCCAGCAGTTTATAGTTTACAGATGTGTGTCAATGATCCTTCCACAGGTTCACCTATGGAAACCTTGTTATGACTTCTCCTTCCTCTAAATGATAAGGTTTAATGAACTTACTGTGTCATCAGCAGCGAACCATCAGCATCGCTGCAATCCGAACACTTCACTGGATCATTCAATCGGTAGGAGCGATGGGCAGTGTGTACAAAGGGCAGGGCCGTAGTCAATGCGAGCTGATGACTTGCGTTTACTAGGAATTCCTTGTTGAAGATCAATAATTGCAATGATCTATCCCCATCATAATGAAATTTTTAAAAATTACCTCAGCCTTTTGACACAGACATGCACTCGTTGAGTTCATTAGTGTAGCGCACGTATGGCCCAAAACATTTAAGGGCATTACAAACCTGTTATTGCCTCAAGCTTCCATCCGCTGGAAGTGAATAGTCCCTCTAAGAAGTTGGCCTTGGAGGAAACTTCCAAGTAGCTAGCTAGCAGGCTGAGGTCTTGTTCATTAACGGAATTAACCAGACAAATCACTTCACCAACTAAGAACAGCCATGCACCACCACCCATAGAATCAAGAAAGAGCTCTCAATCTATCAATCCTTACTATGTCTAGACTTGGTAAGTTTCCCCGATTTGAGTTATATTAAGCTGCAGGCTCCACTCCTGGTGGTGCCCTTCCATCAATTCCTTTAAGTTTCAGCCTTGTGACCATACTCCCCCTGGAACCCAAAGACTTTGATTTCTCATGAGGTGCTGGCAGTGTCATCCAAATAACATCTGCCAATCCCTAATTGGCATCATTTATGGTTGAGACTAGGATAGTATCTGATCATTGTCGAGCCCCCAACTTTCATTCTTGATTAATGAAAACATCCTTGGCAAAGTTTGTCTTCCATAAATCCAAGAATTTCACCTCTAACAATGGAGTACGAATGCCCCTAATTGTCCCTATTAACCATTACTCTGATCCTGAAGACCAACACAACAGGACTAGAGTGCTATAGTGTTATTCCATGATAATGTATTCAAAGCACAAACCTACTTTGAGCACTCTAATTTTTTCAAAGTAACATTGCCGACTCTACACCCCAACCAATAAAGACCAGAGTAGCATCACCGACTCAAAGGACGGGGGGACCAATGCACACCCGCAAGGGCAGACCATTCGCCCCATCCCGAGATCCAACTACAAGCTTTTTAACTGCAACAACTTTGATGTGACTTATTAGAGCTAGAATTACTGCAGCTGTTGGCACCAGACTTGCCCTCCAATGGATCCTTGTTAAGAGATTTAGATTGTACTCATTTCAAGAGACAAATGTAAATGGATATAGCTTTAGTGTAATGGGCTGATAAATTAATAATACCTTTTAGGTGTCTGTCATGGGATTAAACATATAGAGCACTTGGACTGAGTGTAGAAGCTTAATGGCATAGATGCTATTCATAGGGCTACCATATTGAATAGGATGATCAAAGAGATGAAATGGAAGAATTGGATGACCAAATAGTAAGACTTACTAGTTAATGTAGAGATGGAGGGATGCATATGGAATTTGCCATTACCATCCCACTAGAAAAACAAAGTTTTGCAGGTGCAAATGCAAATATTTGTGGTTGTTCCTCCGGACCTAGTCTAGTCATCATCAAAAGACGATTGAAACATTAGTGGGTAGCAGTGGTGCAAGAACCAGCATCCTGAGGAACAACACTGTCACAAACATTTACACCCACAGCTGCAAAACTTCATGGTACTCTCTCTAGTACTTGAGCTGCAAGTTATCATTTTTATTATACAAGAAAGGTAATCTCAAATTGATGTGTTTATCAAATCAGCTACATACATCTAGAACTAATGAAAATATTTCTTCATATATAATTGATTATATATTCTTCTTGTACTATTTATGTGTTAATTGAGTTAACTTATAATTTTTCAATATGTGTATATTTTATAATTGTACATCATTAAAAATCTCCTTGTTTTTGTAATAGGTACTCTTTCGTTTATCAAGTTAAACTTTATTGAGCTTGTTTTTCACTTATATATATATTTTTTAAAATAGAAAACTTTATTATTATGAAATCCTAAGCTTCCAACTATGGTGAGGTTCCTCCATTTTTAATCACCAAGTCGCAGCTCAAGTACTAGAGAGAGTACCATGACATAAAGAGATGAACTCCAGAATTTGCATGGCCATGCTCTGCAAGAGTTCTATACCGGAGTGTCTGCATTTTAGCCAGCTCTATCAAGTTAAGAACTGCGCTAGTGCATAGGTAATCTGGTCCCAAAGTGGGCACTACAACGTCAGCTATGAAAAAACATTAGTGTCGCAGCAGCCCCAGCAAATAATTGCAAAACGTTATGGTGAGTTACCTGTTTTTTGTGATGCAAGTCTCTAGCAGAGCTGCAACTGTTTAAGAACTCTACCAGGAAATCATAGTCGATTACAGTTCCTTCTTTAGCCCATCTAGCAAGTGGCAATGAGCAGCTTCCACCAGCACTTTTCCAGGAAGCTCCTTCACCATCTGCACAGGCTAATTTATTTCTGTGTGAGAGCGCTTCCCTGTTAATTCTACCAGAGAATACACTAAATTTGATGTGGATTTAATAACCCAAAATACGTTACTATACACTGCATTACCTTCGAGTGCTATGTATCCTCTACTACAAAATTTGGGCTCCCTAATAGTTACGCTAGCGTGATCTACATAGGTCCTGGAAGAAAATTTGCGAACGGCTGCCAGGCAGAGTCTAGTTGATGCCAGGATGCCTTCCAGTAGAGATGCATAGTAACAAAATAACAAAAAAAAAACAAAAAAGAACATAAATACAATGCGTGGATCAATATGTTCAGAGATTCACCTTACAGGCGTTTTCCCTTAATGTAGTTTGCGTATGGAGCATAGTTTTGCTGCCATTTCTCGAAGTCCTTTTGCAAGCGCTCTAAGGCTCCAAACGTTGACAGTTCAAACTCATCTATCAGCACAGCAAAAGAAAATCAAAATTAGAATCAAAACCGATTGAGAGCAGACGAACCTGGTTTGAGTCGCTGGAAAATTTTCGACGACCCATCTTCTCCTCCGACAAGTTGTTGTGTTCCAACATAATTCTGAAATTTCATATTGCGAATGCTCGATGACGATGATGCTCCAGAATCTGGGTGTTTTGAGTGGAATAATAACTTTTTGAGGGACAAGTGGCTGTCAGCGGAGATAACTGGTTCTTCTTGTTTCTTTTTTAATTTTAAAGTTACTGCTTCAACCGCGTCCTGGGCCTGTTGGAAGCTCTCTTTTGTTGTTTTTCTGTTGCCTTCCTTAGCGTCAAATTCCAGAAGCACCGGTAAAGGAACTGGAACTGACGTTTTCTTCCTTTCGAAATATTTCTTTGGTGGTAGCAGATATGGCGTTTTCTCGGTAACATCAATATATCCACTAACGTTTGACGGCATCCTTGCTGCGTGTAGTGCTAGATCGTCAGCTAGACCCAAGAGCAGCACTTTAAACGCTATCTCATGGCTTGAAAATCGTCAAGACACACAAAAAAGAAGGAAGGAAAAAGAAAAAGGATACGTGGAGAGAGGGACTTCAACATCCGCCAAAACCCTGTATATGCGATCCTGGTATTGTTCCACAGGGTCCATCATTGTTGCCTTCAACCCTGCAAATCACAGTAATTCTTTCTAACCAGTAAAGCAGAGCCCATAGCTTACGTTTGCCTTGATGAGACGACCCCAGGCAAACCAGTCCGTCTTTGACGTCTGCAAATAAAAACAGCGTGAGTAAACCACAGAGCTTAAGCTAGTCATACAGTTGAGCATAGCTGGGAAAGGGAGATTCTTCATAACAAGCGTCTTCTCGTTCTTAGCTGCATATATCATGGTTAAAGAAAAACCATGAAACAATTTAAGCCCACCTATTAAGTGTTCGGGATACTCGCACAACTGAGTGTTCTTTTCTCTCTTCAAGGTCTTGGATGCGATATAAGGTTGACTAAGAATGTCACCTGCACCCGTAAGTTGCAGCAAGCTGAAACCAGTCTTTGCCCCAGGCAGAACCACAACTCCAGACAGGCTTTCAATACAGCTGTCCCCCATTCCAGTGGAAAGAGAATCGTAAAGTGCTACCATGGATACTTTCCGAGGACAAGAAGTAAACATCTTTGAAGGAAGATCCCACGCACAGTACGCCTCCTCTATCTCACGAAATCTGGGAATTGCTCCTGACACGACTTCAGTAGATAGCGCTTGAGGACCATAGCAGAATGCTCGAACATCACCAGACCGAAAGCTCGCAGCCAGAATTACTCGTCCTGCACGACATAATCAGCAAGACTTCTGACATGTAAAATAAACATTACCTGCATCATTATTTCTCTCAGGCCGGAGCCATGACAAAGGATGCATAGACAAATATCCGGGATAATCGTCCTGCATCGAGTGTTCCCACTAAAGAACGAAAAGCAAGAGTCAGGCTGGCAGAAAGTAGAAGATTTCAAACCTTAAGTAGTGGCAATCTCGGCCTTCGAATGTCGAAGAGCATGATACGTTCCATAGTCGCAGCAGCAAAATGATAACCACGTTCCTCAGGTCGCACTATAGCTACGAAGCGATCCTGCTCGCAGCGCCCCGGACGGCAGTAATCTTTGCTGTTTCCAACGGTAGCAAGTAGAGTAGTCGAATTGCCATGTCTTAAGTCGGATAAAACGATTTCCTCAGCGTTCGCTATGACAAGCAGCTTCGGATGCCAGCCATACTCGACTCGCCACCAGCTCCTTCTGAGATTCCGAATCTCAGCAAGTACAGCCTTTGGAACCTTAGCAGCGCCAGTTCTGTCGGCTGTTGCAGCCTCGACCATTGTCGCGTGCACTAAAAAGTTCGCTCGTAGATTGTTTGTAGACTTTTTGGTGGAGTGGACATCATAAACGTAAACCTCCCCAGACTCTAGGACAGTTGCAAGTTCTCCCTCGATATAAGGACTACAGACCACCTGCGGGAGCCGCATTGTGATCCACCATCATGAAACACAAACTGAAGAGCTTACATGAGATACGCCGTGGAAGTAAGTCGTCGCTGAGGGTGAACCAAAGCATATGCGGTCTTCCTGTAAAGTCCTGATCAAGCTATCCAAACAGAAGACAGAAATGTTTCACAGACTTACTTCTCTTTGAATGTTCGTAACATGTACTTGATGCTGAGTCCTAGCGACAAGTATGCTCTCGTCTTTGCTTGAATTCGAAATCTTCATCGCTGATAACTGAAACCACAAAGTAAAGAAGAGCAAGAGAGAAAGAAGTCAGAAGTACCTGGCGGATGGGATGACCCAACGTTGGTGAGACGGACATCCTCACGCCACCGAACAACTCGACATCCGGCTCGTCGTCTTGCTTTTTCAGAGGACACAAGCGACCAGCGGGATCACGCTCGCAAAGTATGCTTCCTATACTGCTGAAATCCTCCCCAATGGGAAATGCAAGCTGGAGCTTTCCATCTTGACACTGCAAACAGAAAAGCAAAGAATTAAACGAGAGACCAAGAGTAAAGAGACTTGGAACACACTTGCATACACTCCAGTCTGTTTCCAAAAACGCTGTTACTGTCGTGGATCATAGCAACCTTCGCAGCCGTGTCCTCCTGAACGAGCCCGTCGAGAAGAGAATCGGGAGCATAGCCGATCGATGCGTCCTCCTCCGCGTAACGTGATTGCTGCGGAGAAAACAAGCGCCAGAGTGAGAAAACCCCTTGGTTGAGGACTTCGAGAAACCATCTCAAGGGGAGGAATCGGATGATCAAAGAGGTGCAATCTACACCCCGTTGCCAGCAATGTTTGAGGCTCTCCCACGGAATCAAATAGCAATGGCCCCACTGTAAGAAACGATCGTCAGAGCTGGAAATGTCGATAGATGGAGCTTACGATCGGTCCCGGTTCGCATTGGTGCTCCAAACCCCGTGCCAATGCACCACGGCAGTCCCGGACCCTGGAAGAGATTCGCCATCGCTGCGTTAAAAACCCTAAACCTCTGGGAGTGATAGCTACAGCCGATATCTGTGTAAGCTACATTTTCATGGACGAGCGCTTCTTGATCTGTATCAGGTGGCCAGACGAGCAGCGCGATACCTGCATTGAAGTGAGCGAGCTGGGAACTTTCTTTGTTTTCTTTTTTCTCATGCTTTTCCGTTTTTACTCTTCGTTTTGGAGCTGCGCAGGTTAGTGATCACGTTGCCAGTGAGAAGAAATGGGCTCGGAGTAGCTTTGAGAAGCGAGTACACTATCGATCATCAAGAGCTCATTTCTGAGCTCACCGTTTAATTTTTCTATTTACGTTGTGGCTGCAACTCCTGTGGTTTTGGAGGTGAAACTCACGACGGTATCTCACCACTTTGAAAAAAAGAAAAATATCCATATACTGGCATTTGGGTGTCTAATACTGCCTCTATGATGCCAACATTTTCTTGAGCACGTTCTTTGGAATGTGGACGCTCCTGATGTCGAACAAGGGATCCATCGCGAACGTTTGATGGTTGCATCCACTCAAACCTTCCCAAGCAGAGTTTGCTCTCATCAATTGTTATGATCCGGCGCAAAAAGACAAAGATCTAGTTGCCCTAGACTATGCTACGCCACCTCTTGAGGTTCCTCACCACCCAACCACCCCCGAGCTACCTCAAAAGCTCCACTGCGCCGCCGCTCCACTGTGAGCCCTAGGGTAGGTTAAGTCCCTTACCCTAACATGCCTTAATATACCCTTGAGCCTCCCTTTGACCGACGTTGACCACGTAGTCAAAGCTGGCGCCTAACAATTCTTCCCCCCCAACAAAGTCCTTGTCCCAAGGACGAGTTGTACCGGTGATCACCCTTTCTGGGGAATCCTGCTCAAGCTCCTGGTCCATCTTCCACAGCCGTATACATCAAGGAGGCATTGGGCCCGTCACTCCGAGATAGTACACCTTTCAATTGGCTGACATAAAATACTGGATGAATTTTCACCCCAGCTGGCAGCCGCACCCGATAAGCCGCTTTACCAATGCGCTCCAGCACTTCATATGGACCAGCATATCGATGGGAGAGTTTATCACTCTTCCCTATCCGTAAAGGCACCAAGGTGTTCCGCCGCTCACTTGACGGAAAGATCACTCGCACAAAGACGAGATCACCCACCTTATATTCCCGGAATTGGCGATGCTCATTAGCAAACTTCTCCGCTCTATCCTGAGCTGCTTGCAAATTCCGTTTGCATACCACCAGAATCTCATCAAGTTCTGTGGCCAGATCAGTTGCCTCGGAATCAAGCTTTTCTTGAACGTCCTTACTCAAATGCAATCCCAACTCCACCGCTGTTCGAGGATGCCTTCCAAACATCGCAAAGTAAGGACTTAGCTTGGTTCCACTGTGTTGGCTATTGTTGTAAGCAAATTGCACCAATGGAAGATATAGATCCCACTGTCCTTGCCTTTGACCAATGCTACAACGTAGCATATCCTCCACCACCTGATTGACACGCTCGGTTTGCCCATCCGTCTGAGGATGATCTCCACTCGAGAGTTTCAAAGTCACTTGCATAGCCTTTGCAAAGCTTTTCCAAAATCCACTAGTGAACTTTGAATCTCGATCACTAATGATGTCCTCCGGCAAACCAAAATCAGGAAAAACCTTCTCCAAATAAACCGCAGCCAAGTCTGAGGCAGTGACAGTCTTCCGAAGAGCCAACAACCGCACATACTTCGTCAACCGATCTACTATAACCCATACTTGCTCCTTTTGCCTCTGTGTTCGTGGCAAACAAGTGATGAAGTCCATAGAGATACTACACCAACGGCTCTGAGGAATAGGTAAAGGTTGCAAAAGTCCCCCCGGCTTCTCCCGTGGCACCTTAACCCGCTGACAAAGCTCGCATGATTTACAATACTTGAGGATATCAGCCTTCATATTCCTCCAATAAAAGTTGCGCTTAATCAACTCATATGTCTTCTTCCCCCCAAAATGACCAGCCTCTGGACGATCATGATAGTGGAATAAAACTTGAGTAATTAACGCATCCACCCGTGGCAAATAGACACGGCCATTGTAGTAGAGAATCCCATCCACCAATGAGAAAGGAGCTTCCATCTGGTCTCGCAAAGAGGCCACCTCAGCATCCTGAGCCTGAGCATGCTCAACCAACTGCCCAAACTCGCTGACCACCTTACTCAAATGATGACAAAATCGTGTTCGTAACGTCATCACATGACGAACACGAGATAAAGCATCCGCCACCACATTTGATTTTCCCGGACGATGCTCAATAGGAAACTCCCCAAACTCCATGAGTTTGACCAGCCAACGAGCTTGCCTAGTGTTCAACTCCTTCTGTGTGAAAAGATACACAAGTGGTTTGTGATCTGTCAACACCACGAACACTGCACCATAAAGATAGTGCCGCCACGTCCGCAAAGCATGAACAATAGAGAGTAACTCTTGCTCATATGTGGAATAGCGTTGCTCCGCGGAATTCAAAGTTCGACTCTCATATGCAATAGGCTGTCCCTCTTGCATGAGAACTCCTCCCAGTGCATAACCACTCGCATCGCATGTCACCTCGTAAGGTTTCGATGGATCAGCAATGCGAAGCACTGGAGCCTCGATCAACAATCGTTTCAGCGCCACAAAACTCTCCTCTTGTGGCGTCTTCCACTCGAATGGCACATTCTTGCGTAACAACCGCGTCAACGGAATAGCCACCTCTGCAAACTTATGCTGGAAACGTCGATAGTAACTAGCCATACCAAGAAAACTGCGCAACTCGGCCACTGTAGTCGGTGTAGGCCAGTTTTCCACCACAGCCACCTTCCTTGGATCCGTCTTGACACCCTTAGATGTCACAATATGGCCTAGATATTCCACCTCCGACTTTGCAAATTCACATTTGCTCTTCTTCGCATAAAGTTTGCTGTCTCGAAGTAACAAAAGAACCTTGCGCAAATGCACCCTATGCTCCTCCATATTCTTGCTAAAAACAAGAATATCGTCCAAGAAAATCTCCACAAACTCATGAAGATAACGCCCAAAGACCTCCGTCATCAACCGAGTAAATGTGGCCGGTGCATTCGTCAAACCAAACGGCATAACTGTAAACTCAAAATGTCCGAAGCTTGTGTTGAATGCCGTCTTGGAGATAGATGCATCATCCATTGCAATCTGATGATATCCACTCCTCAGATCAATCTTGGTAAACACTCGTGCTTCACCAAGCTTGTCTAGGATATCATCCACACGTGGCATCGGCATCTTGTCCTTTACTGTCTTCTTGTTTAAAGCACGGTAGTCAATACACATCCGCATTGAACCGTCCTTCTTCTTCACAAGCAAGACCGGAGCACCAAACGGAGACTTACTTGGCTGAATAAATCCAAACTCAAGTAACTCCTTGACTTGTCGCTGAACTTCTTGCTCCTCCGCATAACTTAACCGAAATGGACGCCGGTAAATTGGCCGCGTCCCCGGCTCCAATGTAATCCCATGCTCCACACCTCGTAATGGAGGCAATCCATGAGGAAGTTCAGATGGAAAAACATCAGAAAACTCATCAAGTACATCCCGTACTGCTGCTTCTCCCCCACACGTGCCTTGGTCCCCCAAGTCACGAACAAACAGCAAGTAACTTGAAAGTGCTTTTCCATTACGACAAGCCCGCTTCAAAGATGTAGCAGAGAGCATAACAACTGGTGGTTGAACGCCCTCGCCAAACCACACATCTTTAACGCCACCATACTCCAGCGAGATACGCTTAATGCTCCACTTTATCTCTGGATCCACCTTCACCAACCATGGCATCCCAAGAATGAGATCCACACGATGGATATCCGCGAGATAAAAAGTCTCCACAAGTGTGGTTTTGCCAACCAACACTTCCAGCCCCTCGACACAAGCATCGAAATGCTGAGCAGAGGTAGCTGCACCTTCCACTGTGTATGGAACAACTCCACGTGTGTTCAGGCGATGCTCCGCAACAAACTTTGCCGAAACAAAGTTGTCATCGCTCCCACTATCCAGTAAAATCCGCACTGGATCGCCACGGAACACACCCTCCAGCATTAAAGCTGATTCACGCGTATCCTCGAGCTCCATCTTGTTCCACACACAGTTGAGCTGACGAGCAACGATCGAAAGTCGCTTCCTCCGACCGGAATGGTTGGTCTCCTCCTCCTCACGCTGCAAAGTTTGCAACTTTTTAGTATCGGACTTACCGTGAGAAGAAGATTGGCCATTCTTCTTGTCCTGCTGCTTGTTCTTTAACTGCGGACAATCAGCCTTGTAGTGTCCAAGTTCGCCGCAATGATGACAACCCTGTCTATAATTCTTCACAAAGAACTTCTGCTTCTTGGACCCCTTTGCATCCGAGGTAGTCACCACCGACTTCAACTTGTGATGCTTGTTCCCATCCTTGTGTCCACGGCGATCATCACGACGATTCTCGACAGAAGGACTCCGCGAACGCTTGCGAGACTTGTGCTTGTCATTGTCAAGACGACGAGCCGCATCAAAGAGCTCCTCCAAACTCTTTGTAGGCTGAGAATGACGCAAGTGTTGCCGCATGCTCTCACTATGTAGGCCATCAATGAAGTAGGACTTGTTCTGATCTGGATCCTTCGTTGGAACACGACTAATCAAGCGAGTAAGCTTCTCAATATAATCCCCAAGCGTCATTTTCCCTTGCTGGAAATGTCGAAGTTCTGTACGAGCATTCTCCACATCGTAATGAGGGGCAAAACGTAAACGGAAAGCAGCCTCAAACTCATCCATGGTAGACACTGGTGGTTTCTTATCCGCAACACGGGACTCCTCAAGCCAATTCCACCATCGAAGACCCGCATCACGCAAAACCATCGGAATAGCCACTAAAGCCTCTGCATCTGGAGTTCCTCTAGCAGCCAAAAACTTCTTCACATTGGCTAGCCAAGCAAGACACTCGTCCACACCACCATCACCGGAAAAGGTTGGAATCTTGAGTCGATCTACCAAAGAAGGCTTACTTGGAGCGC